GGGGGGACTAGGCTCTTCTGGACAATAGCTGGCAAAAAAAAGGGCCACACAGACTCCCCGAAAGCCATCAACTACACTGTCAAACACATTTATGGGACTTGGGTTTCGGGTGGTTTAAGGAAAGGCCGACACGGACCAGGGGACCCTAGAATTTGTCAACAGCCCCCCGCTGTCGCAGCTGATTGCGAAACCGAGCCAACAGTAGGTCTTTCTCAGGTTCAGGACCATGGGTTAGCGTTTACGTTATGCGTTTTAAGAGTCGGGTCTAGTTTTGGCCTTAGGATCCCGGAAACGGTGTAGATTCTCGGATAAACAAGTTGGTCTTTCCGCACCTAGAGAGCTCGGGCCTTCGGAGTTAAACCGGCTACCAGGGCACTTCTGTTAATCTCATGGGCCCTGAAGCTCCAAACCCTAAAAACCCTAAAAGCCTAGACTCTAGACCCTGACCCATGAACGCTGCAACCCCAAAACCACAAACCTAGGCAGCTTCGCCGTCGCACGGCTGCTCTGTTCCTTCTTGGCTTTTTCCGGGTCTTAATCTGTATGGCCCGGCTATACAGATGCATGGGCTTACCAAACAAAGGTGGCTGTTGGCAGACAGGATCTTCGAGAACTGCTAGAGGGCTACCTACTTACTCGGATTCCTGCCCCAAGGAAGTTAACGACCCTGGATTAAAATGGAGCATGTACTGTTTTGGTTTGCATAATTATTTATATATATATATATATATATATGTATTATGTATATATAGACAACATATAGTTGTGTGTATACATATACATATGCATCATCTAGGCAGAAGGCTACCCACTCAGCTGAAATGGGCAATTGATGCTTACAATCTCCGGTTTCAGAATGTGCAATTTGGTCCTCCAGGATGTGAATTCACTGAGTCGGGAAGGCTTCGTAAGCGCCGTTCCAGGCTGTAGCCCGTATTTTTTCACACATGGAGATATATAGATCCGGGCCACGACATGCCGATGCAAGGCCTGCGTACTCTTGCTGAAAGGGAAAGCAAGCTTGCCGAGATGTAGACTTTGTATCGGAAAATTCTACCAGCGACGAATTTCACATCTCCTACATCACCCCCAACCAATCAACAAAAGCGATCTAGACCTAAGCCCTTAACCCCAAGAAGTCACCGGCCCTCGATCCCAAAATTTAGAAAGCCCCCCATGGCGGGCTTGAGAAATCTTGCAGAACCCAAATCGTCGACTGGGTCTCTTCCAGGCAGACGAGAGGTTTAGGGTTTAGGGTTTAGGGCTTAGGGTTACCTAAACATTACATTTGCGGTTTGGGAGACAGCACCCGGACGGTAACATGCCAATGACATGTCCCTAGAAAGGGGACAGGCTTCAGTAGATGATGCTTCACCATACGAGCTCTATTGCAACATACCCCGTTATGATGATTACTTACACCCCTACGTGGAACCCGTATAGCAACCCTCAAAGGGACCTATTACAGTAGAAGCCCAAAAGTTGGAAACCCAACAGCCTCAATCCTCAAGAATAATGTATAGGGAATCCGAGCACTATCCAGATTCTTGGGGCTTTAGTGTACTTTAGTTGGGATATGGGCAGTTCTCTAAATTACGGGTCCCTTTGCAGGTCCCCAAAAGAGTACGGCACCCGTTTGAAAAGGACCCGAAAAGGGTCCCTTGTAAGGGACCCTATCTAGCAAACAACCCATATAGAACCCTTTTAGTCCCCATGGAAACCCCATAGAAACCCTATAGAACCCTCATAGAACCCTTTTAAGGAGCCCCAAAAGGGACCCTAATCCTGTCAGGCATTGCATCCGCACTTCGTGCAAGGCACAGGTCGCGAGAGACCCTGCGGGAACATCGTCCCAGGATGAGTTTAGGGCTAGGGTTTACAGTGTTCAGTGTTTAGTGTTGAGGGCTTAGGGTCTAGGGTTTATAGAGTTTAGGGTTTAGTGTTTAGGGTTGAGGGTTTAGGGTCTAGGGTTTATAGGATTTAGTGTCTTTTTTATGTCAACCAGGTTTCCGACGGACGTAGAACCATCCGCAGCGTCACTAGATACGTAACACAGCGCTAACATGTTGGAAACCATGCTTGTTCTGTTTTGAAGCGCGTCGCCTCTCTGTAAACCCCAAGTAAACCCAAAGTGGCTCAAGTACTCACGACCCGTCAGGCTCGCAGTCCTTCGGGTGGTTCCCTATCAGAGTGCATACCTGGTTCCTGTTTTCATCAACCATGCCATCGGCAACCTGACTCTCTGGGGCCTGGCCCAAATCAGGATGCGATTTCTGAAGGGATCCTTGAACCTCGCCGAGAAGGGACCCTAGATACTATGGTAGATCGTATATAGCATATGGAGTATGTTGCCAGTTGTTGTTTAAGTGGGTAGGTCTTTGGTTTGGTACTTCCCACCTCCAGATTTCGTAAAGTCTAGGGCCTAGGGCAATGGATTTTGGTGGGTTCAGGCTATTGAAATTACCCCGGACAGCTCACCTGGGACTGCGCCTTTGCGTCTGTCTGGCTTTCCAGAGGCACTAGAGTGGGGTGTTGGCACCGCGGCTCGTCGTATCAACTTTGCTTGGTACCGGCACCCGCATCCTCCTTTCCCTATCGAGGCTCCGTACTACAGCCCCAAGCCCTAGGCCCTAGACCTCATGAACCCTAGACCGCCGCATTACCATGTGGCAGAAGGTGAGGCCGACGAAAAACGTTAGGAGGCCTAAGGCAACGAGCATCTTCTGAGCTGGATGGCTCCTCTACGGCTCGTCTACGGCTCCTTTCGGTAGCGGGTGTGAAAGTGTTGGAGGAATCATAACCTTTATGCTTTACAACTTTATAAACACAAAATGCCCCCNNCCCCCCCCCCCCCCCCGCCCCTCATGTGCTGAGGGATCCGGAACTCGGATCCTCTCACCCAACACCGTAAACACCGCATAAATCCTGCACCCGCCTTCAACCTCGAATCTCCGAGAGATTGGCACTAAACCGGCTCTGCCTCTAGCTCGGCTAAAGGCTTCTGTGCCAGCACAAGTCGAAGCTCGCGTTCGGGACTGCCGCTTCGGTATTTGGGCTGTGGAGACGAAGCGGATTTTTGGGCTTCGGGTCTATCCCTGAGGCCGGAGAGTGTAGGCTCGGACCACGATGCCAGCCAACACCCCGCGGCGCAAGGTCAATTATCACTGAGTCTGGCCGTATTCT